ACCCGAAATGAAGCATAACAGTCCACTGACTACCAACTGCCTACTGGACACCACATCAAGTTGCCCAAAAAACCGGTGTCATGGTCGAAAACGGCTGCCATCTCAGCTCGTTCCACATGAACACCATCGATGCCAGCAGAAGCAAGCCCAAGAACAACAGAGTCTCCATTGGCTACACCAGCACGGACGCTACGAAAGGAAAAATCTTTGGAAGAACACTCGAGGATTAAACAAAGGCGCCTACAAGCGGGTCAAGTGAAGCGACGACAAATTAAAAATGTGTTGCTTAAAACAAATAAGTCTTTTAATTCAAGACATTTTTGCAAAAAGGAATATCGCACAAGTTTTCTTCAGAAGATATCAAGATTCACTCTACAATCAACGCTGTTCAGTCAACAGGACAAAAAGCGACGAAGAAGGCGCAAAACCACACCCTGTATTACGGAAGAACGCAGAAATCACCGCATCAGTCTTGGTCAACAAACACACAGACGGGCGGCACTGCATGTGTACCAATCAAGGCAAAGAGCCCGACGCCTACACAAATCATGCTGCTGGTTCTCCAAAGACTTCGCACCATGTTCATTCTTTGCAAGTATACAATCAGTTTCATCATCTGCAGTTTCAACGTTCAAGGTGTACTTGTGTTTTCCAGCACGCAACAAGTCAGCCTCGCCCACCAGAACTCCAGCACTTGTGGGACTGATGCACTCTCCTGTGAAGCTAAAGTGTGTTTACGAAACTTCCTGGGACATGAAACGATGTTCCCTTTTTTGAGCATTTGCTTTCTGGGCACGTTTGGAAGCAGAACTTTGGAAGCCGTCATGTCTGGCCGTGGCAAAGGTGGGAAGGGGCTCGGGAAGGGTGGCGCCAAGCGTCATCGCAAGGTGTTGCGTGACAACATCCAGGGCATAACCAAGCCGGCCATCTGTCGTCTGGCGCGCCGTGGCAGTGTCAAGCGCATCTCTGGCCTCATCTACGAGGAAACTCGCGGCGTTCTCAAGGTGTTCCTCGAGAACGTGATCCGCGATGCCGTCACTTACACCGAGCACGCCAAAAGGAAGACCGTGACAGCCATGGACGTCGTGTATGCCCTCAAGCGTCAGGGCCGCACCCTTTACGGATTCAGAGGCTAAGAAGCCAGCAGCGTCGCCTGCAGCCAGCCAACGAGAACACAGTATATATATATATATATATATATATATATATATATATATATATATATATATATATATATATATATATATATATATATATATATTAGAACAAATACAATGAAACCAGAAGAAAAACTTAGAACGCACCCAAACGGAAATTCAAACCAATGACTGCTCGTTGCGTTTGACAACTAAACAAAGCGCATTCCATATCTCGGTGAAATATCTACGAGCTATTTATTTGCAATATTTACCGTTTACCGCTGCTGCACGCATATCACTTTGGAACTTGAGCCTCTCTTCTATGACGCAACTCTACTACATTTCCTTTCAGTTTCAAAACTGGCCTCAAGACACGCACAAAACGTAACTCCTTTCAGCACCCGCTCATGATGCAGAGGGAAAAAAAGAACACCAGACACACCTTGCGTTACACACCGTGACGTGAAAAGAGAGAGAGATGGTCACTCCACGCATCGTATTTAAAGAAAGTTGTATCTAAGAGAATTAAGTCCTTCATTATCGACACTTAACGTTTGTCGCTGAGTCATAAAGATGTAACAAGTGTGACAGTTGTTAGTTCACGCTTGTGCTATGCATACCTTTGCGTAATATTCTAGTGTTCTTTGTGCTTCAGCTACACGTTGCAAATATTGAGCAGCTTGTCTTTCTTCCTTTGGCATTCAAATTTATTGTTTTCGCATTATTTGCTTAATTTTTGCGGACAAGCTTTCCCTTTCGTATCTATCTATCTATCTATCTATCTATCTATCTATCTTTCTATCTATCTATCTATCCAGCCACCTACGTCTCGGTGCTCTCGTGGTCTCCTATTGAAGTAGGGGTAGAGGAAAATTTGTGTGGAGACTAAGATGGTTAGACAAGTATATCAACTGGACATGATCTGTATAACTAAAAAAATCTTGTCGTCTACGTCATTAAACATACCTCACCAGAGAAGTGAGACTTATATCCATATACCACGGGTAACTATTAACATCTTCCCAGGAAAGGCGGGAACAGACTATGGTATACATGTCTGACTGCTGAAACAATAAACATGAGCAAAGGTGATATGGTGAGTGTACAGAATAAATATCAGGTTCGCAGCAGGAATCAAATCCAGTAATTCTACCAAAGGCTACGCGAGGTCTCGAAACTGCAAGGACCCTATGTAGGCGTGATGTTAGTGCAACGTCAGTTGTGGTTGCATAGCTTTCTAAATAATTTTATAAACATTACGAATGCACTCTTATAACACAAGCGACACGTAACTTAAGCAAAATCGACTAGAGTTAGTTTACGTAGCACCAGCTGGAGCTACCATCCCAACAAGCAGAAACGCTATACGTCAACTTACGGATTCTAGTGTTCGTAGTTTCTACTTCGTTTTCTCACCGACGCGCAACTTTCAACGAAAGGCCATAAGAAATATATATGCCACTTCTCAACATATGCCTCTTCGTTCAACATTTGTCATTTGTACAGGAGGGGGGGGGGGGGGGGGGAGTCCAAGTTCCAAGGCTACGTTGCCATAGAAATACATGACATAGTGGTCAGGACGTTTTCACCAGCGCTGTACATATTTTTCGCATCATTTCGTAGTGTTTCGCTTGCTAAAAAGTTACAGTATTCTTTTCTCCACCTGCTACACATGGCTTAGGTTCCTGTGGTACGTGGATAAGCAGAATTTTTTTTTTCTATATGCTGATCTTTCATAAAGGCTATCGTCTGTCTGTATGTCAGAACCCAGCGAAAAATCAACTTCAGGTAGAGGCCAACGTCTTCACCGTAAAGAGCGGTTAGCTCACCGGTCATTAGTTTGTTTTGAACTCAGGACCATAACGCTGGTGTAGTACATCTTCACTCGCGAAGCCGATTGGTTAGGTCAGCGAGGTTTCTAACATTGCAAAGCAACTAAGGAAAATTCCAGCTCATATATTTCAGTGGGCATTGGCGTGCGCAGGGCTGCCAATTGGGCGAAGCAAAGTTTGTTCACAGTGCTGCCCTCCTCACCCCTTTCTCAAGCCTAGAGGACAACCGGATTCATAGCGGATGAAACAAACAAAAAATAAAGTGAAGCTGTGACGAGCTTCTCGTAACAGCCAGCTTAGGGTCATAGGCTTTAATCTAGTGAAGATGGGAATGAGACAGTTCCTGTAACGTTGGGTGCCCTCAACCACCATTATTTAGAATAAACCTACTCGTCAATAGTGGGTAAATGTATGGGGGAAAATTTGCACCCTTCCCCCTCACCTCCATGATAAGTGGTGCAGCCTCCTCCCCACTGTCTCATCATGCGCATATGCAGGCTACCGACAAGAGATATTTTGCAGTTATGAAAGCAATGTTCAAACAAACGAAGGAATATACGTTGCAGCTATAACTAAACACAGGCACAATGACGACTGCGGCAATACTAGGCTATCCATAAATGCTCTGCTGTACGATGGGTTGTAGAAGGAAATGAAGTTAGTAAAAATGAGGCAAAAAGACTTGACCTTCTGTTCAGCAGAGATTATTATTAGCTCTGACCAATGACGAGATGTGTTTATGGGGATATGCTGAATACATCCAAAAAGGTGCAAAACACAGGCTCGTGTGAACCTGCGAGTACATACACAAAAAATAACAGCAACTCTAAAAGATTCGTAGTGTTTCTAATGTGCTTATATCTCATTTGTTGCTAAGATTGCGTTATAGAGAGAGAGAAAAAAGTCAAGAAGAGGAAAAGAAAGAAAGGTTACCCAGACGAACATCCGGTAACACGGCAGTCACTTTGACTATATCGCAGCAAATAACCTTACCAAAACTCAATGATACACTGCAAAGCACTCTCTCGTTCTAAATTTGAGCCTTTTCATGAAGTACAAATTACAAAGATATGTAGTTATTACCTAAGAGAATAAAGATGACCTACAGCTGATTGTGATAACCTCAGCTCAAGCAAATTTGAACAAAACATTGCTGTCACCAACGGATTTAGAGATTCACATGTGACTTGCACAAATAGCAGATGAGCGATAGAGAAGAAGCTGAGGAAGACATTCTCACAAAAGAAAAGGCATAAAATACATGACTTCGAAGGGAAACAGTCGCCCAGGTACCAACAAGAGGATTGACGAAAGCATGGCCTGATGCCAGATACAGAAAAAAGGTAATTATTTTGGTGTCATTCTACGATTCTTTTGACCTGTTCTGTATCTCGAAATAGAAAGAGGATTCGATGCGGTGAGTTTTTTTCGTAATTTTGAGCTTGCATTGTAATACAGATTAGTAGGATCGGGGGTTGAACTGACAAATTACCTTCATTGAACGCTGCAAATAACTGGTATGGCTTGCTCCTTGAATTCATAAATTTGTTGCCTCTTCTGCGTTTGTAACTTTAGTAAGATGCATTGTCCATGTTTTGGGCTAAAATTGTGTATTCTTTTAATACTTTCTTGATTCACGCCACAGTCTATTGTTACTGACTCTCAAGAACGAAGTCTTGAGCTGCGTTCTTTGCACAACGAAAGGTGCAAAAACATTTTTTTGAATACAGCTGCCTACTTTCTTTGATGGCGGTCACCTCAGTGGACATCATTGCATTTCCTTACAAGTAAAGCATACGTGAATTTGCTGGTTTGTGTTCAGCCGTATTTCTGAATGTTAACTTTTACTACAAAGATAACGCAGCCGTTGCGGCTTGTAGCCGTTGATGATGTAGCCATGGACAAGGCATGACCACTGGTGCTTTTGCGTCATAAACCCAACGTAGCTGTTAAACTAACAATAACATGAGCAGCGTCACTCAAACTGTCATGCAGACAAGGGGGATAAGTAAACGTTGAGTGCACTCACGTCTCATCGCCCAGGGCTGTAGATCCTGGATGGCTCGCGTAAATTGCAGCAAGCCCAAGCTGCAGTCGGTGGATATATTGGCCTGTTGTAGTTTCCGCACCACTTCTCTGCCTGATGTAGACATGAGCTGGTTGATCGCGGCCTGGACGTTACTAAAAAACTTCGAACTCTCGCCATTAGCTATTGGTGTCGCCGAACTCTCGCCATTAGCTGACAATGGTGTCGTTGACAATGAAGTGGAAACAGCTCCGCTTGACTCTGCTAAATTTATCTTCCTGAAATTTCGGGACGTCGACACTGTTGTTGATTTGCTTGTTGCCTCTTTTTCTGCAGTAGCTGCTGCCACTCTTTGTTTAATTATTGGCTTTGGTGAAGTGGCTGAACGAACCATGGCTGGCTGCCTTCTTTTGAATGAGTGTTCATTCATTGTTTCTTGCAATTCTGTTGTCCTGTAGAAGTTTAAAGGAATTTGTCTTCCCCGAGCTGAGGCTGGTGTGATAGACATCAGCAGGCGTGATATATTCACCTTTTCTAAAGAAGCCGTCGCTTGGTATGTCATCAAGGAGCTTGGCGCCATCATTTCTTCATTTTGCGAGGTGTTTAACGGCGTCAACGCGTCTGTATGTGTGGTAGTTTCTACACAGAACACAGATACTAACACAACAAAAAAGCCGTAGAAGAACATTATATTCCCAGATATTAGTGCTTGTGGCATTGTCGCCTAGCTGTCAGTTCATCTGCAGGCGATCTTAAGGTGTCAACAAATCTCACAGTTGGCTTGCGGCTGACACCTATGCACCCACGCACATCCCGCAACACTAAAAGGAAATCACGTCGCTCACCTAGTCTTCCGAGTTTTGGGTATAGCACTGTGAAAAAGCTATTCTGCGAAGGTAGCCTCGGCAGTTGCCTGATATGACTCTTTCTATACGTAGGCTTATTTACGTAGGCCAACGAAGGTAATTACTTTGCTGTGTATAGGTAGGCCAATCACAGAATGCATGAAGACACCGAATGCGATTAGCGCTTTTGCATTGGATGTGACGTTACACGTGGCCGCGAATTCCTGCAGCTAATGCAATGTGGAACTGAATCCAAGCACATTTGCAAACAGTCCGAGTAGCGATCACCAAGAGAATTTCGCTGCTCATATAAACGTTATACTTTGACCACTGTTTCACAACGATCACTTCTTTCACAAGAAAGGTGGGTTTTTCTATGCAAAGTGACTGACTTCGCAGTAGCAAGTGGGAAAGCGAGCACTACCTAACAAGGGCAGTCACATTGGTTTCTGTTTTTTTGCAAGGACAGTATTAGTTAAAGTAGCTGTAACTGCCCCGTACTGGAGAATATGTCTTGGCAGTAACGAAATCAAACTTCAATCTTTATTTTTTATGTTTCATGGTTAAGGTACTACAACGTGATTGGTGGCTTTAATTGAGGTCAAATGTTTTAAGCATTCAAACACATCATGTCTATGCACAGCCTTTGACACCACTTTTATCAAACATTTGGATGATTTTCCTCACGAATAGTAATCCTTCACATTCTCAGAATGGCCTTTATTGTGAAAACATTTGTTACCCTTCATGTGGTTTTAGAGGTCATCAGTCGCGGGGTACCTCCAGGGTGTTGGCGCTAGAGCAGATTCTTTAGGCAAATGTACTAAAACTTCGGAGAACCAAGTCGACAAAACTGTCTCATCAAAAGTTCAACACTAATAACAATTTTCACGAGTAACCACACAGGTGCTTTCACGCACTTTTAAAAAAGCGCAGTTTGTCCGTCAGGACGCAGTAAATAATGTTAAGCAACAAATTGAACATATAAAGTGTGAGACTAACTTCTTACTCATTTATCATTCGGAAGGTTCACTTTAGCAAAACTTGTACATGTTTCACACTTCTTCTGTAGGATATCCCCCTCCAGCCAAGTGCTCTGGAAGCTCTTTCTGGGTACTTCTATAAGCATATATGTATTGTATTGAAGGAAATAAACTGAAACTGAAAGTGAAGTAATTGCAATCCTTGAAATGAGGAAAGCGACCTTCACTACATATATATATATATATATATATATATATATATATATATATATATATATATATATATATATATATATATATATATATATATATTTAAATATATATATATATATATAATGCGTTTGCACTGCTCTTTACGTAGCCCCTTATTTATTAAGACGCTCTGTCTCAATAATACTGAAAAAAAAACAACTTGAATTATACGCTTGGCTACAGTGTAGCGTACTGCTGAATACAGGCTACATAGCACCGTTTTCATGTGTATGTGCAAGCTACACAGTGATATACATCACAGACTTTTTCAATTATCTATTGCGAAAAACCAGTTTTACGGCACCCGGTGGCATCTACAAGCAGCGCTCATTATACCATACTGGTTGCGCCACACGATTACAAAATGAGCTGCGTAGGAAGAACAGTCCGTTCATAATTTTTTACCTCAGCCGAGAAAGCGCAGCTCAAACACTCTCGTACACCTCTCACCATCATGGACATTATGCTTGTAACAATCGTTAAATATATAGTGTTTTTCCAATCTGTGAGGTCTGCAGACCACCTTGTATGTTACTACTTTAATCAACTGATGACTCGTGCTGCTTCTTGCTGCTCTTTCTTGTGAACCTATTTACAGCGCAAAACCAGAAAAAACACAGGGCACGGAAGGAGCAAAAGAGAAAGTAAAGACGGCGCTGTAAATAAGTTCACGATGGATCCTAACCAACTAGCCCAACTTACCGTCTTACTGCTCTTCCTTGTTTAGATTTCGGCCTACACTAAAGGAATTTCGTAGGCTACGAAAATGTAGCCACAAAAAGAAGTGAATATTGTCGGCCAACATTTCTTTGATGTGTGGGCTAATGTGCCTTCCCCATTTTCAGGTTGCACATGTTGCATTCCTTGTTTGCAATTTATCACAGCAGCACAACACAATGTTTCAAAAGTATATCAGAAATAAGCACGTAAGGAAATATTGGATTCGTCTTTGGCTCGCTGATGTTTACATTCTTTTGTCTCCGTCTGTGGCTTCGCGAAGCTCGCGAAGCCAAATCACATTCACTCTGACTTTTCATCGAACTCGCAAGCCATTTCAAAAGTTTTTTATACATTTCTCGAAGATGACGAAATGATTAATGGAGCTCACAAAGAAACGGGTGCCTTTCATTTGTAGCGAAGATTGGAAAAGGCTTACCAAGAACCTATACAGCATTTATCAATGCACTGTACTGTTATTCTTCTGAACTTTAGTTTACACTTTATATGATAGTAAATAAATTGACACTCTCGGCTGGATTTTACCGCCAGTGTCAGCGTCTACGTTGGTGCCACCGTCATTCACCGTATACGTATATGTATCTATATAGATAAGAACTCGCAAGAAAGAATAATGACCAAGAAAAAGACTCCAGTGCGGAGAATCGAACGTCCGACCTATCGGTTGTCAGTGCGTGGCGTTAGCAACTTGACCACGAACGGGCATCTACATGAAGGTTGAAACAGCAAGCTATTTGTATCTACAAATTACCGCTGACGATGCCAGTATTGTGGGATTTATTTCGTTTTTAGCACTACCAGAAAGATGGCGCAATGAGCGCATGTCACCAAATTGTTACAACGTGGCGACGCGCGTTTATGCGTTGATCACTAATGCGTACTTTGCCTCGTGAAGGGTTGGGGGACGGTAGACGCTCATGCGTGCGTACTCTTACCTCGCGGTGAAGAGAGGGTGAATCGTACACCTTGTGCTTTCATTGGGCTTTCACTGGAGAGAGAGAGAGCGAGAGATAGAGAAATAACGTTTATTGCACCCGTCTAGAATGACGGGGGAGGAAGCTTCGGCCTCTGCCCCCAATCATCCCCCTAGCCATCGGCCGGAATCGCTTGGGACTCGGCTGTGGTCAGGGCGAGACCGATAACTTGACTCTGTTGTTCGGCGTCACGGCTGTGTAATAAGGCCTCCCAGGATTCTACGTTTCTACTTGGATCATTGTAGGATAGGCAGGTCCTTACCATGTGCACTAAACCCGCAGTGCTGTTGCAGTGCGCACATCTGGAGTTGAACACTTCCGGGTGCCATTTACTGTACAGGTGAGGGTTTGGAAACACCCCGGTTTGCAATTTTCACCACATAATTACCTCCTTTTTGGTCAGCTGTTTAGCTGCCTCTGGATAAATCTTACGGTGGAGTTTATAGTGTGCGGTGATTTCCTGAAACGTTCGTAGTTCGTCTCTTGTGGAGAGGGGCTGCTCGCGCGAAGGCGGCGGGTCAGCGTCGATCGACCGGAAAGTGAGCCCTCGAGCGATCGTGTGCGCCTTCTCATTCCCCCTCACACCTTGATGGGCCGGGGACCATACTGGTGAGATTAGCTCTGCGGGTACTGGTCCTTGTCTTAGAATTTTGGCGGCTGTAGCAGAGATCCTGCTCATATCGTAGTTTTTATTGGCTCACTTAGAGTCGCTAACAATCACTCGTGTGCCCTTTTGAGCTATATAGGAACAATTCCAATGTAGTTATTGGGCGCACAATGATCAATGCACTCGCTGCACAGTTTCTGTTTAGGAAAAAGGCGCGCTTTTCAGATACAGCAAAGCAACAACAGAGACACTTTTTCGCGTTCAACTGTATAATGACGTACGTTTCGTGCGTCATTTGTGCATGAGCAGCGCGCGGCACATTTTAAGCTTCTCGCCAGTCTTCGCTTGCCATTCCAATTTGTTGCTATTGCATTCAGTACTTCGCCTTTGCGGCAAAGCTGTGGTTTTTGAGGCGAGTTCAGGCGCTTTCAATCATGGTACGGAGACGGTTCTTTATGAAAAAGAAGTCAGTTCGCGTCTAACTGACCAGCCTCAGGTTATAGGGTATTATTCCTTCATCTTCAATGTTGCACATGGTAGCGCACACCAGGTTACACAAAAAGCACACACAGAAATGGACGCGACAGGCGCTTGTGCCCTGCCTTTTTGCGCGTATTTGTTTCGTAACCCGGTGTGCGTTACCATACGCCATGATTACTTTCCATTGTTTTCAACCTTCAACTTTACTCAGAAAAATTATTCCACAAAAAAAAGATATGATCCTGCTGTTTTAAAGGCTGTGCGCTACTTGCAATCATACATCGACAGAAAAAAAAATATTAAATAAAGCTCACCAAGCATTGGCGCACCTGCAGAATATGTCACAGTCAAAAGCAAAAATGGCCGGCTGGGCCAATGAAGTTGATAACTATGGTTCTTACTACTTCCACAAAAAAAATACACGTCTTTCTGACGTTCCTGCACTGTCTCTATTGGTGGTCGAGATCAGGCATGGAACAGTTAAGGAGATTATCAGAAATGTATGAATATCTGCACTTACAGCATGGGAAGTTCGCCATATCACACCCACTGATTAAAAAAGTGCTTCACTTAAATCTTGAAGACCGGGATCAGGTGGTGATGATGACTTCTGGCAAAACTTCCACAAGCGTCTGAAACCATTAATATGGTCACACGAAAAATATGTTAAAGCCTATGTGAAGTCGTGCCACTTTTGCGAACTGAATATAGCGAAGTGCCGGCCTCAACCCGACGAGCTCGTCTGACCAGAGCACTCGAACAAACCCTCTGTAGTCGTCCACGTGTGCTTTGTGAAACTGAAAAAGAAGAGTCAAATGGTTTGCAAAATGCAGTCTTTCCTAATTTGCAAAACTAAGTGGGCCACAAGGGTAGCGGCTTGTCCTGTACGAGAATACGCAAGCAGCCTGGTGACTTCTCTGAACCAAGTGATATTTTTGTGAGTGAAAGTTGTGGTATGTGACAATGTATATACATTCCTGAGGAGTTCAGCAGCGGTCAGATAGTCGCGGCATTACACCACGCCCTTCCACTCCATTCCACCCGC